TTGCTAAGTGTTAGTGTTTGTTTATTGTGCAGATTCAACCCCTGACCGTGGTATTCTTCATTGCTATTGAAAGTTAATGGGGGAAAAATTGCATTCCAAACATTTGAACCTGTAGTAGCCATGGCTGAACTTAGTTGATCTCTGGTGATCGGTTCAATTTAGTTACGATTTTTAGCCATTAGGCTGGGGCTGAATGATGGTGATTTGGTTGAGGCCAAATGTCTGTAGAAAATTGGCTGTTTGATAAGAGCCCTGTTATCAGAGGGGGATACTTTCTCATTTACATTTAGATGAGTATTGATTATTTATTTACTCAGAGAAGTGAGATTCGTTCCCAATCTTATCTCTCTCGTCTCTGCTTGTCAGCAGAAAGAGAGATAGAGCTCCTGACATCAGCCCAAGATAACAGCACTTTGTAGTGAAGATAAAAGTTGGAATGGGCCTTTTTCTAGTCTTGACTGAAAGGATAAGTTTTAAAAATTAGAACTGATGGGTCGTGCTTTCAAAACCCCATTCTGAAGGCTTTGCAGCTTAAATGGCAACAGAATTGGTTTGTTGTTATGCGGATGGCCATTCCCTTTTGTAAGGGAGCTGCTTAATTTGATTACGGTGGGATTCTTCCTGGGGCACCTTTGTGTTGTGCCAGAGGAAAGCTGGGGATGTTGGGTTGTGGGTTGTTTCCTTGTTTGTTTTTAATTCGGGATAAACCTTCCTCTGTTTAAAGGAGTATCTCGAAATAACGAAGTACAACGGGTATTTGTAGGCAGAAAGCACGGTGTGATGGTTAGTTGGGGATTTTGGCGGAAGGGATGTGTGTTATGGCTCTGTCTATGGAAGTTGGCCCCGTTCCTCCACCGCTGCGGTCTGTCGGTGCACCGAAAGGAGTCTAGGAGAGAAAAACTAACGTGTCCAGTAGTGTTTGCAGTGTGTGGCTTAGGCGATCGCTCCTGCGTGTACCAGTAGCGTGGCTCAACAATGGAGAAGACCCAAAGCCTCAGGCCACCAGATCTGGTGGAGAAGGTGCCCCGGCTCCCACGCCCTCCCGGGTAGCCTGGGGGGCCTCTGGGGCCCTGAACAAATCCCTGCCAGTTTTTGAACAAGAAGGGTTTGCGGGAAGGTATAGCCGCTTCTCTTCCACCATTCTGTGGCTCGTGTCAGGCTGCTGCTTCAGTTCCCTCCATCCTCTCCAGACACAGCAACACTTGTTCCTCCAGCCCAGCTTGAACCCAGCAACAGCTTCTCTCTCTCTCCAAGTATTTGTGACAAAACTACAGAACTAGGAGAGGAATTTCTATTCATTAGCTTTGTCTTCTGCATGTTTTGCCCTGGTAACTTCTGTTCTAACGTTCTTGCCCCCAGCTTGGTGGTGGAACATGATACACCTGATTTACTCTCCCGCCTGGCTCCGGCGAGCAGGGCTGTGGGAGAGCCCCGGCGCTGCTGGACGCGGGACGTGCCGGAGCCGCGGTCCTGCCGTTGGTGCGGGGGCTCTGCTGGGGTCGGGCCAGGACCGCTGCGCACCAGGATTCTAAAGGTTTATTTTACAGCTGCGCAGAGCATTTGCATCAGATTACAGAAATCCATAAAATCCAGTTTTGGTATTACCACTTGAAATTTTGTTGAAATTCCCAGAGCAGTGTTCTGTTAGGAGACCATTAAATTACCTAATATTTCTACTACAATGACATCATTTGAACTTGTGAAAGGAGCCTGGTAGTAAAACTCCTCCACAGAATCAGCCTGACATTTTTAATCTGTTACGAAGTAGAGGTCAAGCAAATGTGTACAGATATTTAAAATATATTATTTAAGAGTAGATACTGTCTAAAAATCCATTTACACTTCTTTATGAATTTCTTCATATTTTCTGTTTCAAAGGAGTTGTTCACATGGAAGGTTGCCTGGGTTTCTGGGCTGTAGCTCTGTCTCATTGCTTTATTGGCAGATGGTTAATACAGTCTTAACACAAACTGGATAAAACAATTTACCTGATCACAGAATTCTCGAGTTGCTCCAGATAAATATCATCCTTTGCTGCTGGCATGGTGCTGTTGAGGGATACGATCGCCGATGGCTCTCCGCAGGGTGGTGGGAAGGCTCTTCAGCAGCATGAGGATCGTTTCTAAGCTATGTGAGATCGTCCTTTTGGGTGGATCCGGCTGGTGGAATCGGATCCACGCAGAGGGAGGATGAACCACTGCTGAGCTCCTGTGTTCAACCTTGTCCCCTTGGTGCTGTGCACTTACTCTCTGTCGTTTTGAGGCTTTTGTAGGGCTGACGCCTGTCCCACTGTCCCAGAAGCACAGGAGCTTCTGTGCTGGAAGAGACAGTGGGACGGAGCTGGAGAGCGCGGCGTGGGGCTCGGTGCCGGTCCCTGCAGCAGCTCTCGGCGCCGAGTGACTGAAGGAAAATTGTGTTGATAGAAATGATTTGGTGGGATAGGTGGAGGTGTGATGCTTGAAAGTGCGTCTCATGGAATGGGTCTGCTGGGCTCGTCACGCACATCTTCTGGTGCATCCACCCGCGGCGTGCCTGTGCAGGGACCCGGCGGGGGGGGGGGGGGCGGGGAGCTGCTGCTGCCCTGCGCTCGGGGAGGCTGCCCAGCCGGCCGAGCTTCCCAGAGAGCCCGATGGTGCTCCTTCCTTTTTGGGGTGGGAGCGGGAGAGCGGCTGTAGTGAAGAACGAGGGAGAGGGACACGGTGTTGGGTGCTGGTGTCAGCAGATCCCGGTCCTGGTGGTGGTGGCAGAGGCTCTGGTGGAGGCACGAGGCTCCGTCTGTGGTCGGAGCACTGGGGGGGGTTTGGTACTGGGTACCACGACATTCAGGTGACACCAAGAGTTCTGCTGCCTTTGTCTCTGCTGGGTCTCGTTCAGCGTTTGAACGCAGTCTGGGAACCTCTGGAAGCTCCTTCTTACCAACAGACAAAGCAAACAGGTTTTGCTGTCACGATTCTGTTTTTAAACCTACACCAGTTTTTTAAATACAAATTGATTTACCACTTTGATATTTGTTTCAATTCAGTATATTTTGCTTCTGCCTAACAAGCCAGGCCTCTGCTGATTTAATTTATTTGAAATTTTTAATCACATTTCCAGTAGCTGGGAGAGGAGGAACGATGGTGCTGTGTGTATTTGCCTCTCTGTTGGTTGTAGGAGATGCCTCCGCTGTTCCCGAGCGCCGTGTTCCGTGACGCACTGAC